GCAAATAAACATTAGTATAAATATTGAATACTTACCTAGTTAAAGGTGAAACATTTGATTCCAGATGCTATAAGTTGAATAATCCGTGCGAAAAGGAGCGGTGGACAAAAAGAGGGAGAGATGATATGATGAAAACCTATTTTCAAAAATGACAAATTATGCATTTCAAATTTTACAAAGAAAAAAGGCAAAGCGTTGAAACAAAAAAAAGTTCTGTATTTACATATAACATATCAGCCTTGCGCAAACACAACTTTTAATGCTATTCTTCAAAAACTTTTTTTGTTTCTTATCATTGGTGGGAATAAATGGTAAATGTATCAGAACCACAGTAAAAGTTTTTAATTGAATTTTACATTTTCTTAAATTCAGGGAGGATAAATTAATAAATTTAAATTTTTCTTTCGCGAATATTAACCTAAGCGGAATTCACAAAGCGTCTACAAATAGTGTACATTTTTAGTTTTAGATAGAGTCAAAAGTTCCTGAAATTTCCTTTCAATAGCAGTAGACATAAAAAAAACTGATTATTTTGGCATCTCAAACCAAATCCTAACAAGGTTTTTGTAAGGTGCTTTTATTTATAATCAACAGTAAGCCTTGTGGGCCATTTTATTGGTCATGTCTATGTTTTACCGAGCTGTAGCCGTGTGTGACAGCAGGATAATCCATCACGATTTACAGCACGTTGCTTTCCGATTTACAACTTTCCATCGACGTATATAGTCCGTGTACAAAATCACGGATTTCATTTTTATTAAAATTGAGTGTGTAACTCAAGCGTAAAGTGTCATCCCTGTTTATCTTACGAGAGGGCACGTACAGATGATGTTGATGATTTTGAGACGTTGCAAACTGCTCATGCAAATTACTCTTTAATACACGAAATCGGCTAATTATCCATATAGGTTATTTACAACGTGAGATAAATCCGAAACTAAGTATTGGGACACAGCTTTCATTCAATATAGATAGAAGTATGAACGCGATAACAACCCTCTCGCTTCTATCTGGCATTGTTGATTAATTTATAGGCCGCTAGGGAGTTTGCGGGCGGTAACCTAACCACTTTTAGCACCGTTATGGCCGACGTACCTACACTCAACAATCATCACCTCTAATTAGACTTTAAGGATTAACTGGGGAGTACCTATTCGAAGACTAAAAATTGACAGCGTTCATTAATACCAATTTTAACGATTTTATATAAAATTAATGTTTATTGAGCGCTTCCAGTTTTTCATTTGACGTTTATTTTGTAAACTGATGTTTCAAAATGTGTTTTGTCTGTGAGAAATATCGGTCTGGTATTTTAAAATGGTAAGTATAGTTTCTTCAAAATGAAAATCACTGATCAACAGAGGAACACACATGCGAGTTCCCTTAATTTCTGCCAGCGTTGATAAACACTTTCTTATTAAAACAATCGCTCGGTAATCGGTATGCCACGAATTTAATGACAAACGGTCACTAAACCACCCACATAAACACCTGTCCAGCTAGCTCAATTAAACTCAGGTAATTTAAAAAGCTCCTATGCAAAAACTCAAACTCTTACAACATTTTTGTACAAGTCAATTATAACGTCCAGTATCTGTTACAACGAAAATGTCGATAACACTTTAATTAAAATATGTTGAACCTGCATCAACTTTGACCTCCACCCCTCAATTAAGAAACTGAATTTAAAATTATTATCTAGACACGTGGCATAACCCTGGGTACTAATACAAAATTTATCATGAAAACTCCTATTTGGGTCGTACTCTGGGTTCGATTAAACACAAAATTGATCATTTGCATACGACACACAAATTTATTCGACAAAATCTAATTAATAATGATGAAAGAAAGAAAAGCACCCAGGGCCTACAAAGTACCACGTACATGTGACCAATTGAAATAAATTAGTTAAATAGGGTTTTTATTTCCTTAAAGTTAATCATATTTAAATCCGGTCCTACCTCTTTTATAAATGCACAACAAAAACAGAAGGTTATCTCTGATTTTTCCTACAATTTTCAATTTTTTGACGTAAGTAATTGAAATGGACTTCTTGTAAGGCTCTGTGGTGACCATGTTTCATTTTAACGGCCTTTTTTACTTACATATAACGTTATCCCAGTCCATGTTTGAAAATCGTTACTTTTCAAGTTTCAAGGCCATGACCTTAACGAAAACCCGAGCAGACCATTTGGTTTTCCAAGGTTAACTTGATGACGTTGCAAAATCCCGGGACATTGACCTTGGAAAATACCGGGACAATGCGATTGGAAAATCTCAGCTTCATAGCCTTGGAGAATCCCGGGATAACGACCTTGGGGAAGGTCACGACCTTGCAAGTCACTAAATCCAAGACGGCGGAAGGTGATTTTGTTCTACTAATAATATTTATTTTATGCTATAATGCAATACATACAGTAAGTTAAATAAATCACAATTTTTCATTTTTCGGCTTGATATAAGTCAGGGCGCGCACTTAACGCGCTATTTAATCCGAAATGCGCACGCTTTCGTGATCAAAAACTGAATTTAATCGTAGCGCCTTCGAAACTTAGTGGTGAGTGCTCTCTCGGCTATCCCCGTGACGTACTGAAATCAGCATCTACTTCTTTAATGTTACAAAATACGCCAACAAAATGGCGAATAATTAGTCTCAATGGCCATCTTTTATAAGTGAACCCATCTTCAAAGACTTTATTCAATCCCATCTTTTTAAAGTCATTTCGCAAAAACCTCTGTAGTTCAAAATTATAATAGGCACATTTACGTTCATTTGGACCAGTTTATCATCAAACTTCAGTTCATCGTTAAGCATAAGTTTAGCCATTTTTTGGATTAGTGACGAACACTTCCAAGTGGAATTTTAACGTTTTAATGCGTTGGACTAACGCCTCCAATCTTGTCTTCCTATCTTCCCTAGGTGCAAAAGTGCCCAATCGCCTCTTCCTATCTTCTCTAAATGAAATCCTTCCAATCATCTGACTTATGCGTCGTAGGTCGCTCATGTTTAGCAATGATCAGGTTTACTTAATCAATTCAAAGTCTCCCAAAGACACATTTTGTAACAAATCTGTCCCGAAATTTGAAACCACAGAATGGTAATCAGTCGGGTCGGGGGTCGGGGGGGTGGCAAACTTTGAACTTAATTCTCATGGACGGATCACGGAGGTGATTGACATTTGAACGACTGATAGAGCGAAAAGGCGGTCTAATTACAAAAAGTTGCCCTTGAACATTACACTTTGGCACACATTCAAAGGTAACTATCAGAGAAGAGAGAGGGGTTAGTCCCCATTCACCTTGATCTACTTTCCAAGGTTACCACCAGGTGGCGAACGAAGTTAAACTGGTCCAGAACCGGCCCTAATACACTATTCCTGACTTCTAAGTCAGCAGCTCTCACGACCTGATTACGAGCGGATCCAAATAATCAGAAAATATCACGTATCACCTATTAACGTTTTGTCCCCCACCAGACTGGCGCTGTCTGCTTTCCCATACTAATCGTTCACTACTGCATCCGGCTTGATTGACAAAACATAGAGCGACTAACGCATTGAAAACCCATGGACTTAAAAAACATTAAAGTAATAAAATTTTGGAATTACCAGCCCTCACTCTGTATACATAAAAATCCTCAATTGTTAAAATCGCGTAACCTTAAATAAACTCAACTTAAGTCCTTAAATTGAAGAAACCAACCGTAAAATAGTTCCAATTACGGAAATCTCATTGAAATGCGCTCAGTATCAGGACGATTTACAAGCGTGTATGAAGCCGATTTTAAAGTTAAAGCTTGAAGTTGAAGCTTGAAGTTGAAGCTTGAAGTTTAAGCTTGAAGTTGAAGCTTGAAGTTGAAGCTTGAAGTTGAAGCTTGAAGTTGAAGCTTGATGTTGAAGCTTGAAGTGAAGCTCGAAGTTGAAGCTCGAAGTTGAAGCTCGAAGTTGAAACTCAAAGTTGAAGCTCGAAGGTGAAGCTTGAAGTTGAAGCTTGAAGTTGAAGCTTGAAGTTGAAGCTTGAAGTTGAAGCTTGAAGTGGAAGCTTAAAATTGAAGTTGAAGCTTGAAGTGGAAGCTTAAAATTGAAGTTGAAGCTTGAAGTTAAAGCTTGAAGTTGAAGCTTGAGGTCGAAACTTGAAGTTGAAGCTTGAAGTTGAAGCTTAAAGTTGAAACTTAAATTTGAAGTTTGAAGTTGAAGCTTGAAGTTGATGCTTGAAGTTGATGCTTGAAGTTGAAGCTTGAAGTTGAAACTTGAAGTTAAAGCTTGAAGATGAAGCTTGAAGTTGAAGCTTGAAGTTGAAGCTTGAGGTTGAAGCTTGAAGTTGAAGCTTGAAGTTGAAACTTGAAGTTGAAGCTTAAAGTTGAAGCTTGAAGTTGACGCTTGAAGTTGATGCTTGAAGTTGAAGCTTGAAGTTGAAACTTGAAGCTGAAGCTTGAAGTTGAAGCTTGTAGTTAAAGCTTGAAGTTGAAGGTTAAGTTGAAGCTTGAAGTTGAAGCTTAAAGTTGAAGTTTGAAATTGAATAAAATCTATCTTCTGATTGTGTCTTCAAATGGCAATGTTTTTGCAGTTGGGTTGATGTCAAATGACAAAAATGTAAATCTTGCACAATCCGCCGCAGGTTCAGAGGCAGCGAAGTTACGAACTGTGCTGCTAGTTTACCAGTAGTGCTCTTATATAGCGCCGTGTATAGCAAGATATAAATGGTAGTCGCTGAATCGGGTGACTTGAAGTCTGTTAATTTAAGATTGAGACAGGAATACACTGTAACCCGCTTTTCGTTAAAATTTTGAATGAACTTATTTTATCTGTAATAAACATCCCCAGCGTTAGTCTAAATAGGGGTTTCGGAAAATATCTATAACTTGATTAAAGCTCTTATCATCACTAGTTTAAAGTGAGGTCTTTTAAACTTACTAAACTGACCATGGGATCAAGATCAATTGCAACTAGTCATAGGTAGTGCGTTCTAGTCCTAAACTATTAAAATACATCTGTCATTTTTTTAATTCGCACAAAGTGTCAAGTTTGGTAACACAGTATCAATATTAAAATGATAGCTGAGTGCGTTTTAGTTGCGTGTTTATACGTCTTTACATACTTTTACACAGACTATATAATTCGTTTCCCATTTCTACACAAACAGTAAGCGCATACACCATGGTCTACCCTCACACTTTCAGAACGGAGCATAGTGAAACAAGAACGACGAGCTCAACGTACGGAGACTTCTACCACAAAACCAAAGAAGTAAGGATAAGTATTCAGCCGAACCTGTTGAAAATCCTTCGCGCATTGGACGGAAATCGCAGGCAATTTATTGAAAACTTAAGGGAGATGGTCAAGATCCCGTCAGTATCTGGGAGCCTCAAGTACGTTGATGAAGTGCAGAGGTGTATTGATCTTGTCATTAATTGGCTGGTTAAGCTTGGAGTGAGGTATCAACCATTCAATATTGGAAGGTACAAGTTGGAAGGCAAGGAGAACAAACGTCCAAGTGTTATTCTCGCCAGTTTAGGAGAGAATTTCAAGAAAAAAACTGTAAGTCACCAGTACCATCCGTGCTTATCAAACCATGTCTTGTAGGTTTGCGTATATGCACACCTCGACGTCAATTTGCCTGATCTGGAGCAATGGAAAACTGACCCATTTGACTTAACCGAAGTAGATCTGAGATTATACGGTAGCGGAGTGGCAAGCGGAAAGGGAACTCTAATGTCATGGTTCAACTTAATTTACGCATTCCAAGAAGCTAACGTTGACATACCCGTCAACATTAAATTCATAATTGAATCTTTACATTATTACGATTCCGATGGGTTAGAAGAGTTCATATCAAAGCAACGAATACATTTTCTATCGAATGTAGATTATTACATTGTTTGCGACTCAGAGTGGTTGGTAGAAAAAACTCCATGCCTTGTCTATGGGAGTGTCGGTATAATTGCCAACCCTGGGAGGGGATAACTGCGATGATTTTTAGGACGTCTTCGCCTCACATGCAAGATGGAAAGAAACGAGAGCGCCGAGTCTGATATGAAGGAGGACATGGCAAAAATATTTGGGGAGCTATGTAGTGAGCGGGGCGAAATTCTGGTCCAAAACTTCCATGACCTCGTGAAACAAATTACACCTGACGAAGAACATATTTATGAAAGTATCAAGTTTGATGTAGCCGATATCAGGTGAGTATCGAATTCAAATTCTAAGGCTATCGGATATTTGTCTAGAGATAACCTACCGGAACATCAGAAATCTTGGGATAAGGTTAAGCTTCTCATGAACTTTTGGAGGCTGCCCTCGATAGCTGTTGAAGATACCGAAGAATGCACTTGTGAAAAAAATGATAAAAGTAAAATAAAAAGGAACTTTACAGTGAAAATTGTCCAAAACCAAATCGTCGATGTCGCCATAAAGCAAATCACCAAACACATAAAGAAAACCTGCCAAAAACTTGACATCAAACACAAGGTGGATATCGAAGTGGTTTCTACTTCCAGACCGTGGATGGAAGATATCTTATCAGTGAATTATTTTGCTGCGAGACGTGCACTTATTCAGGTTAGTTATAAATGACGCGACGTAGATCGCTTAGTGTCATCTTTTAGATCTACAGGCAAGATCCTAACATGATTCGCGAAGATTGCGATATGAAAGTAGTTACAATGTTAAGTGTTTTAACTGAAAGATGCGTGCTCGTACTGCCTTTAGGTGACAACCATATAAACGCTGGTCGGTCAAATGAAAATATTAGAAGGGCAAATTACTATGATGGAATGAAGGTGTTAGGCGCTTACCTTTTTCAAATAGCTGAGTTGGCTGATCGCGAAAACAGTCATGAGCTATAGAACATATTTATATATTTATAGTTATTATAGTTTATCATGTATTTTTAATAAACCGCGAACAATTTTGGTCGGATTCTTTCAGTCACTCGAAGATTTTACTCGTACATTTAATTCTAAATTATCTATGACGTTTGCGTAACTATTTTGCTACCTTTTTCTTACAATATGGTTGTGAGTGATAACGCAGAATGGGTTATCTGAAAGATATACTGTTTCCCAAATTTAAAGATCCACCCTGTATAATAGCAGATACAGTACATCAAAATAAGAATAAATTGTTAAATAAACATACGTCCGATCTCGCACCGTTTTCGAGTGATGGCAGCTTGAAGGAAAAAGTGTCATCGCTAACCTTATATTGTTTTCAGTTTAGCACAAAATACACGTAAATTGCTTATTTTGAGGTACTGTATCTGCTACTACAAGGTGAATCTTTAAATTTGGTACACTCTGTATAGCACAATCTAGAATACCGTTGTAACGGGTGAACGTTTTGTAGTTTTTAAAATTATTTTTCCGAATTTGGATTTCTTTCAACATAGAACAATGTACACATATACCACTTCATATTAAACATAAACGAAAGTATGTCTAGAGATAAGTGAATTGCATTTAGAACGCAGGCTGTGTTAAGGCTGACGCGCACTTACGCGTCCGCCGCTGCTGTAAATAAAGCTCTGTGCATGATGTAGAAATTTAAAGGCAATTAATTTTTGCATTTACTCGCAGCAAAAACCAATTAATAAACAGTCAAAACTAATATTCAGTGTATAAGGGAATTGGACTTTTATTCCCGTGCATAAACAAGTTCTCGATCCTTGCTTTCGAGAATCTGATGCAAGTTTGACTGTGTTCGCAGTAAGTGCGGACTCCTTTATACTAAGATTTCTATTCAACAAAAAGTTGATATTACCAGGGCGATGCCAAAAATTCAGTTCCGTCACGAAACGATCTGTCTTCTATATTTTTGTTGAAGTTGAAGCTATTAATCGGAACATGAAAGAAACCCCAGTATCATCAATAACTGTAGCTTACTTTAAATTTTTGACTTGTATAATTAGTATTGGTCGATTATTTATATAGGAATTTGATTTAACGTAATCGTAATATTCCTATAGGAATCGATCTATGAAACAATTCAATGAAGTTTGTATCGCATTTATTGATTATACTCGAATGCAGGCAAAATACAAAGGAATTCGTATTTCAGTGATACCATTCCTTTGGTTAGATTGAAATTTTTGTTTAGCATTAAAGGATGTGTAAAAGGAGAATTTACGAGGAATTATATTTACGTATAGAAAATGAAAGTTCAGATAAGTATCAACTCCATCATTGATACGTGTTCAAGAGATAGCAGTTGCATTTTTTTTGTATTTTTTTAGGAACCAATGTAATGTTTTACAACAAAGAAGATGTAATGAAGAATAGAATTGTATCGACTTTATTTTTCTTAATATATTTAATCAATTCATTTTAAAATATCAAACCAGAGCATCAGAATTGTTGCTAAAGGAAGAGGGTAATTAAAATAAGTTCTTATTAAAAAAATAATAGTAAACCGGAGAGGCGTCACTTGGTCTTTAGTAAATTTAAGAAGAGGAAAGACTACCTACTTATCGAAAGGGGGAACAAGGCAGACTAAAAAGAAACAGGTTTCCGCAGAAAACAACGAAGCTATAATTGTTAAATGAAATACACCAATGACAACCCGGCCGCATCGAAAGTAAATGCGCTCAAACGCCACATCAACGGGCCGCCAAAAACAAAAACACCATTTTTGAACTCGGGTCGTAATGGCCGTCTGAATTTAGAAGGGCGTTTTTCTGCTTTATCTGTAACAGATAAAACACGAACAAAAGAACAAGACGAATAGTGAATAGCGCGCCACATAAATATTGGAGTAATCCGACGAAACAAAAGCAAAATTTTAACCCGACAACGAGCTGTCGTTTACAAACGAGCAATGACAAACTAATCGTAACCTTAAATAACACAATTTACAATTCAAATTAACTAAATATCAATAACAGACTAATGTGAAGGACATAAAACGTAGTTAAGTTAGAACGAATGAATCTAGCACAGATTCCACCCCCATACATGCGCATGTGCGATTCTGTCCTTTTATGTCTAAGAAGATGTGTACCGAATTTGGTCCCAATCGGTTCAGCCATTTAGCCGGAGAAGAGAGTACAGACGGACCGACAGACGGACATAATCGAGATTTTGTTTGATTCGGATTCCTGGTGCTTCAAAAGGTGTATTTCAAAAAAGTGACGGGTCTCGAAGTCGAGTGGCAAACGGCCAATATTGACAATTTCACACATCACACTGGATTCTTTGGTTGGTACCTACTCCAATGCTATCGTGAAGTGCGGCTTTCATACATCCACTCCTTACCCACCAACATCGACTCTCTAGCCGGCAACCTACGCACTACCCACCTGCACTGCGGCCTTAGCTTTAAGATTGAGGGCTTGAGATCACTTATCAAAGTTAAGATTTGGATATGTCAAATTTCCGAACCAAACTGACAATGGCAAAGGATGAACTCCTATAGCAGTAATAAAATGTTTCTGTATTGTTCTTGTTATTTTATCACGTAATAGTGGTACTTACAAAACGTATGCGATTATTTGGATTGTTCAAAACCACGCATGCAAGCGATCGATAGACAATTAAAAAATCTCAATTACTTACAATGTTTAATCATCTAATAATCTGCTCATTAATTGCGATTTTCTGGCACACAAAGAAATAAACCACAACACTCGCTGACAAATTCACCTCTTTTCTATTACCAGGAACTAGCCTTGTTGACTTCATGTATTTAATTCAAAACCAGCACCCAAATGTACACTAAAAAAATATGATATTCTATATACAGGGTAATCTACAACAGTATTTTTCTGTTGGTAGTATGTCCACTATGTTTTAACCAAATGCAAGTGCTTAGTAGAAATTAACTTGAAAGCAATCACCTTACTGGATACAACTGTGGTAATAATATTGTAACCATAGCAAAATCGACCAATCGAAACATGGGGAATGTTATATATTTGAAAGAAAATTCTACAGGGTGAGTCAAGGATTGCGCGGAGTAACTTAACGCCTTGAAGATAAGATTTTTCGATTAGAACCCCCTATATTTGAATGCATTTTTTAATTCTAAGTGTAATTGTACGTCTTTTTTATTATATGGTTAATATCCGAAAAGCTAGTAGTTTTAAAGATAATTCGATCTTTAAGAAAAATTGGGCATTTGCAAGCGTCAGTATATTGTCAAAATTATTACTTAAATTTTGATTCCAGGTTTTATTTCTTTTATCCTGGGTTAAGTAAAAGTCAAATAAATACATCTACTATGAAACATTAAAAATATAGCTTACAGGGTGTTTTTTTTCTAGATCCAAAGTTACAAAACTTCATATTAAAAATCTCACTTTTTTTAAATAGAACACCCTGTATATTTTTCTGTCATCTTTTAGCTCCTCCAAAAAACCTTCAACTTTTGATAATAATGTCCTATACCTACCTCTGATAGTTTTCGAAACATCTTGGTTTTCCTGGTTTTTATATTCTATCTTAAACAAGTTATACTCGTATGTAATTTACATAATAGTGAGGTGGCCATGCAAAAAAAGGCAATGACACAAAAATATACAGGATGATTTTTAAGATGAAGTTTTGAACTTTGGACCTACCAAAAAAAACACCCTGTAAGCTGTATTTTTAATGTTTCGTAGTAGATGTATTTATTTGACTTTTAACTTAACCCAGAATAAGGTATAAAAACCTGGAATCAAAATAATAATTTTGACAATATACTGACGCTTTCAAATGCCAAATTTTTCTTAAAAATCGAATTACCTTTAAAACTACTAGCTTTTCGGATATTAACCATATAATAAAAAAGACGTACAATTACACGTACAATTCAAAAATGCATTCAAATATAGGGAGTTCTATTTAAAAAAAATACCATTTGGGCGCCCTACTTCGTGGGCGCACCCTGTATAATTACAAATATTTTTGCGCGATCGGTCATTTCTGACTATTTACCATGTGTGTTTCCATGACAGTACGTGGAATTTACCAGTTGCTATGATTACGACGACGCCAAAATTACTTACCGATCTAAAAACAGAACAGCAAAAATACTTACCGACGCCTTTTTAAAAACAATCAGTCCAATGTTAACAGTCTTACATTACATTTAACCTTTAATTTAATCTTCGACATACCATTCGGCCACCGGCGAATACCTGGCTCATAAAGTCATAAAGGAAGTGCAAAGCTAGCAAACTACATCAGACACATGCACAATTTTATGAAATTATTAATTTCAATTTTGACATTTAAACTGGTTACCTAGTGATGTACACCATACCACTTCGATCATTTCGATTTATTCTGCTCGTTAATTTCTTAGTGCATATTTATATTGGTTGAATAATTTTAATTTCGATCGCACAAAAAATGTTATAAGCACGTCGAACGTTAAGGGTTACCGTTCTCAGACAATAATTGGAGTCGTCGCTCCGCTCCTCCTCCAAACAATTGTCTTCGAACGGTAAAAATCCCTTACCGTTCTCCATACTTAATATACTATTTTAAAATGTGGAGAATATTCAAGCATATTATAATACAAAAGCACTCTATCGAAAAATCTTATCTTCAAGGCATTAAGTTACTCCCCGCAATCGTTGACTCCCCTGTACTTAGGACGCATTCTAAACTAAAACGATCACCAGGGTTGTTAACGAGATTTAAATTTCCGAAGTTCGTTTATAAGTAAATCCAGCAGTAATATGTATTTTCGTAGTAGTAATTTACTTAGATCGAATGTCTGGATGATTTCAAACAAAGAACAACGAGAGGAAAAATCTCTTGTCAAATTAAAACGCTTTCACTATCACGTATATACAGTGCAAACAATATAGGATACATTTTAATCATAATGTTTTGCTCCCGTGTTGAGCGTTACAGTCATTTAGGCGAGAACAGAACAAATCATAGATATGAACAAACATCAGAGATATCTTA